ACATCTGATTTCTTGACTGCTGTTCCTATGGGTGTTGATTGTCGTTATTGTTGTGTGCCGTCAAGTAGGAAACAAGCCGTAGCTGACCCTCCAGTGTGTTTTCAGAGCCAGTTAATTGCAGGGGAGCAGATAGCCCATCCTTTTCCCTCAGAGCAGTTTGTGCCGTGACTGCGTGCCTTTGGGATTACAGTGTAGCTTCTTACCATTAGGCTATCCAAGTTAAATTGAATCTGTGACACTGCCAATCTTTTCTCCATTGTAATGATGTTGCTTATTGGTCCAGTTGTAAAAATTTGTGTTATTCTTGTTAAGGTGTAATTCATACTGACCAGTGCTATTCACGGCAGGAGAAGGATGGGCAGTCTCCTCCTGTGTGATTAACTGCCTCTGATAACCCACTGAAGGATCAGCTATGGATTGGTTCCAACTTGATAGCATACAGCAACAACAATGATAGTCATGTGGTTTTCAATGGTCCATCATTTCCGCACCACCAAGCCTTCTCCTAAACTCTTTTAGTGTGGAAGCTCCCCTGGAACCTGTGTACTATGGGTTACTCTGCCTGTCTTTGAAATACCAGTAAAAACATAGCTTCCAGCATCTCCACAAGGAAGCATCATAGTACAGCATATTGACAGATGGTTGGTGGACATAGTAAATGCTCACTGCCCTCAAGTAGGAACAAACTCCTATTGAACCCTCCCTGGGGTTTCTGAGAATTAAATCATATAAAAGGAGATTGTCCATCTTTTTCCATCACAGTTCCTGATGGATTCAAGCTGTCAGAGGTGCTGCCATTGGGTGAGCAGTGCACCAGACAGAGCGCTCCTATTTAAAATTAAAAAAGAAACAAATCCTCAAACCCAGTGCTACTGAGTCAGAACCAACTCAGTCAGATCCTCCAGCAGGGTCCAGAGCATCTAACCCACACGAGAGGAGATTGGCCATCTTTCTCCTGTGGAAGGGCTGGTGGATTTGAACACCCAGAGAGGCATGATCTTTGGGTTAGCAGCACAACGCCCTATAGACGGCCATCAGGGCTCCCCTCTAAAACTGACAACCACAAAATTGTGCCTAGAATGAAGACTAGAAGTCAGAACATCAAAATAATAAAATCACTTTTATTGGATAATTGATTGTATAAAGTACTATGGTTCTTTACTGAATTAAAGTATTCAATTTTAAAAGACCCACATAACTAAAGCCTAATAATGATTTGTTGTGGTCTTAAACTATGCAAACATTACCAGTGCTGATACGTGTTCATCTAAATGTCATGAATTTATCACCATTTGAGGAGGATTGATTATTTTGAGTTTAGCATATTGACTTTAGAATTTATAGTTCAAGGTCTGTTAATAAAATTGACTTTATTAGAAGTCAGAATCCAAAGAATAATTTAACAAATTCCTTAAATTCCATGTTTTTGTTTATTTTCACATTGACATATTTCTGAGGGGATAAAACCCCAGATCTGAAATGTAAAATTGAAAAAAATCTCTTCACAGGTGTTCCGTTGCCCAAAGAGGATGCCATTTCTGCCCCTTTGATCTCCACCTCACCAGTGAAGGAAGCCCAGGAGTATGCAGGTCCCCCAAGCGAAGAGGAAGATAAAATCAAGGAGGAAGAGCCCCTCACCATCTCTGAGCTCATGTACAACCCGAGTGCCAGCCTGCTCCCCACCCCAGTCGATGACGACGAGATTGACATGCTCTTTGACTGTCCTTCGAGGCTGGAGTTAGAAAGGGAAGACACAGATTCATTCGAGGACCTGGATGTGGATGAAAACGCTTTTCTGATTGCAGAGGAAGAGGAGCTGAAGGAGGCTCGCCGAGCACTGT